CTGGAGCTGTTTCGGGGTCTCTGGGGCTGTTTTGGGGTCTCTGGGGCTGTTTCGGGGTCTCTGGGGCTGTTTCGGGGTCTCTGGGGGTGTTTTGGGGTCTCTGGAGCTGTTTTGGGGCTGTTTTGGAGCTGTTTCGGGGTCTCTGGAGCTGTTTCGGGGTCCCCCAGGCCTGCTGACCATGTCCCGCGTGGTTCCCCTGTCTCACTGCGCCGCCACCCTGGGGCTGCTGCTGGCGGGCGTGGCCTGCCTGCGAGGTGAGGGGGCTTTGGGGGACCCCCGGGACCCCCCCGGGACCCCCCCCGGGACCCCCCTGAGCCCCCCCCGGGACCCCCGGGACCCCCTCCCCGCAGGGCTGGGCCGCTGGAGCAACCCCCAGTACCGGGAGTTCCTGGCGGCGCTGGAGGAGAGCCACCGCTCCGGGACCCCCGAGAGCAAGGTGGGCTCGGGGGGGGCTCGGGACCCTCAGGGACCCCCGGGGGGGGCTCGGGGACCCCCAGGGACCCCCGGGGGCTGCGGGGGAGGGGCTCAGGTCTCCCTTCTCGCCCCTCCCCCAGCGCAAGCTCGGCCTCTACACCTTCGACTTCCGCAGCTGGCCCGTGGACTTCCGCTGGGACAGCGCCGGCCCCGCCTGGTCAGAGACCCCCGGGGACCCCCTGAGACCCCCTGGGACCTCCTGAGACACCCTGGGACCCTCCTGAGACCCACTGGGACCTCCTGAGACACCCTGGGACCCCCTGGGACACCCTGGGACCCCCTGAGACCCTCCTGGGACCCTCCAGGGACCCCCTGAGACCCCCTTGGACCCCTTGGGACACTCCCGGGACCCCCTGGGACCCCCTAAAACCTCCCTGGGTCCCCCTGAGAGCCCCTGAACACCCTTGAGACCCCCTGAGACCCCCTAAAACCTTCCTGAGACCCCCTGGAACCTTCCTGGGACCCCCTGGGACCCCCTGAGACCCTCCTGAGAGCCCCTGGGACCCCCTAAATCCCCCTTGGGACCCCCCAAACCCTGCCTAGACCCCCCCAGCCCCCCCGAACGCCCCCTCCCCTGACCCCTCTCGCCTGCAGGGGCGGGGCCCGGGCGGTGCCGCTGCTCCGCAGCCCCCCCCGGCCCCGGGGGGGCTCCCGGGGGCTCCTGGGGGCGCTCCGGAAGCTTCCGTGCGCCGTCATCAGGTGGGCGGGGCTTGTGGGGGTGGGGCCTGAGGGGGGGCGTGGTCGGGGGGAAAGGAGCTGGTTGGCTGTGGGGGGAGGGGAATGGGTGGGATGGCTGGCCCCGCCCCCCTGGGAGTG